ATCATCATCATCATCATCATCATCAATCCTTTATTTAACCTTCATCTAACGAGGGTGGCACTAAGTAGCAAAAACTATGCTAATAAACCTGTGTCCCTCTACAATAAGATAACAACTATAAAGGACACTATTAAAACTAGCACGAATAAAAAAGATTAAAACTAAGCGTAAAAATTGTATAGAACCATTATATAGAAATAAACAATAGATTGGTCTTCCAGATGATTAAACTAAACGAGGAATAACATAAATTTGTGATTCATCGCTATGGGGCAACCAAAAACCAGGTTCCAAATGGTGTAGTTTTACTGTGAGGCACTTGCTTAGGAAATGTTGTTGAGGTACTCAGATTCCTACTTGGTTGCGACAGAAATTCCGGCGCGTTATTAAGAAAGACTGTAAGAAAACACCAGCTTTTTGTTTTCATAGATCAAACTTGACATCACTCCGGAGAAAGGATGGCACACAGAAGACATGTTTATTCCTCCAGGGTATCATCTTAAGGCTGAAGTCAAAACAGAAAGAAAATCTAGTAATTCGCCTGAGGAACACAAACAAGCGTACAAGTACCCGAAAGGCATGGGGAGTGTGATGATGAATGGCTGCTGGGGGACTGGGTACGAGAAGAGTGACCCCTGTTTTGACGCACTGGAGGCAAATGATCAATGCAGGGTGAGGAATAGTTGGAGCCTTTTAAAAAAAACTTTTGGCCTACAATTGCATATTTTAGGCTCTAATTAGTTAATGGGTTATAATCATATGCGGTAGCTTGTTCCGAAATTCATCTCCATTTTCAAGTATATACACTAGACTTTAGACGAGAGCACTTGAAAATAGATATATTCCAGGATGTTCTGCGAGGAAGCATTGCTACAACGTACCATTTTGTCCCAAACGATCAGTTCTACAAATTTAGAACCGCGCAATGCCTAATGGGAAAGAAATGGTGAAATACCGCTAAATATACAACGGTGTTCCTGCATTCTGATTGGCTTCAATTTCAGTTATTTTGGATCAATTGAAGTATATTTTTGAAACATTGTTACTTTCCACATGCATGAAATTTCATCATTCAATTTTTTTTTCTTATTTCCAGAACATGATCGATGGTGCTGCATTTATTGGTGTTGGTTTTGATGGTCGTGGTCAATACAGCCCTGAGTCCAGGAAGATGAGTATTATACAGAGAAGCTGTGCTGGGAAAGCCTCGTAAGTTCACTTAGGATATTGAAAATAATATTTCAACTTAACCCCATTCACACCGGTCTATTTTGGTGGCTACCAAGGACCGGGAAGGGGCTTTTTAAGACCGTGCCCTGACGTCTTTTAAGTGCATATATAAGCTAAAACTGTGTTTCGATATCTTTCTAGTACTTTTAGGTGGAAAAAATATATCAATATCACAGCTAAAGTAGAAGAAAAACTTTCATTAAGAAGCCCAAAATTTGTTAAATACATTGTAAAAAAGATAATAAATTTACGAAACTAAGAGTTACGTTCAATATTTGAAGGAGATAATCTCCCTTCACTGACAAAGCTACAAAACTTCGTCCAAGACAAAGCTGCGTCTTCGGATTTCAAGACATTTCAAAACATACAAAATTTCATTATTTTTACCTTGAAAGTCGACACTCCAATTAATTTGTCTTTTTGTGCTTGAAGGTGGTCATTGTCATTGCCATTACGCTATCTAAGAAAGCTAAGTCATACATCATCATCATCTCTAACATAACACTATGGTATTATGTTTTGTAGCTATGATGACTTTCAAGTTCCAGACACGATGAATGTCCATGGTATCTACGATACAAAAGCACAAATGACAGTATTTACGTCACGATCTGAGTATCAAATGTATTTACAAAAAGAAGCAGGAGTGTCTGGCTCCTTATTTGGATTTTATGCTGGTGTTAAGAGTGCATGGGGAAGCTCTGAAAGCGGTGCCCAACAAACCAACCTGGCCGTCTTTGATATCGATGTGGACAGGTATTGCATTACCGCTCTACAGTTACCTCCATATCCCACTAAATTGTTCTATTTTACTTTCATGCATAGCCTCCAGGTTGACATTTGAACAGGCAGCTCATTTTTTTAAAAGTTCTTAGCATTAAGAAATATTAAAGATCAAGTCTCTGTACGCCTCAAGCAAGGTGGGAAATAGAACTGTTTGACCACCCTTCAAATTTGGTGTGCAAGTAGGCCATTATGTTGGATGCACAAAAACACCACAATTTGATCACCAAATATTATGTAGTGTTGCCATGTAAACGACAAATGTATTATGAGATCTTAATTTACAATTTTTTGAATAAATTAGACCCATTTGAAGGTAATGTATAAATTTAGGCACTGTCTAAAAGCGGAGCTCACAATGGACACAGGGAGCACAATTTAGATAAAACTGTAAAAATATAATGGGGAAAAAAGTCTTCAATTATTCTTTTTATTCGGGATGAAGATAATGTCCTCCAAAATGAAAATGATGAAGTGAAAAAGTCAAATAGAAGTGCATTACATCGTTTCCTTTCCWTACTTTAAAACTTTCGTCAGTTATAAAGTATCTTTTCTAGTTTATAAAAATAGGAATTGTTTTGATTTTATTATTTTGCACATGAAATAGCTTCCATGTCTCTATACTAGAACTGCATTACTTTTGGAGAACGACCAAAAAACATTTTGACCAGTTTAGCTTGTTGTTAAAACAGTTGATTCGTCTGTTATTTGAATTAAGGTACGAATATTGTAAATTGTAAACTAAGGTCTCATAAAACACGTGACGTTTCTTTAGCAACAGTACGTTTGGTGATCAAATTTGAATTCCAAGGCTTTTTTTGTCATGCGGAGAGTAGAAAAAAACGGTAAACCATTAGAAAACCCCCGAAACGACAAGAGTAAACCAACAAGCAACCACGCTCCGTTCACACATCATGTTCAATCTGGTTATTGAACTTATGACTTTATGTACAGCGAGAGGCACGCACAGCACACTTCTCGTGCTTATGCAGTTTCAGCTGAGTTTATCTTCAAAACAAATTCAAAGCAACCAATCAGAATTGAGGATTCAACATCATATTTTGATGAGTATTTCCGATGATTCTGCCGAAGAAAATGCATGAAATATGACTTTTTTAAATTGATCATAATTTTTAATTGAACTCCTGGCAGAATTGTAGTGAAGTCATCACAAGACATCTTCATTGTACTCATTTTTTGCTTGAAAATGCTAACCCAAAATAGTTGACCCATAATGTCTTCTGGGGAACGCAGCCAACTCAGCTGGACCCTAATATCATGTCCAGGGATCAAACTTATTACAACAGCAGTTAGAGGCACACACAGCACATCATCCGTACCTAACCAGATTCTTTGTTAGTAAATGATCCAATGCAATGATCCCTTTTCCAGGTATGAGATCTTTCAAGACGAAGTCAAGCCACAAGATCTGAGCAGAAGCTTTTTGAGAGAATTTATTAGTCTTCCAAACTCCTATTTTGCTTCTGGAGCTCCAGCTAAATTCCGTAAGTTCAGAAATATTTTAAACATCTATTAACAGATCTTGAAATATTGGGAATCTTGTGTCCAGCATGCAGTCGCATAATGTCCGGTGTCTTCATCATCATTTTCGTAATCTTTTGGGTGTCTATACCGACAGGGATTCTATATAGTCCATACTGTCCTAGATGCTCTACTATCAAACAGATGATACTGAAGTGCATTATTTTCCATTCTGCAACATGTCTGCATTCTACATGAGATATTGAAGCCGATTGGGAGAGTATGTGCTAGTTCACGTTGTCGGGCCTTGGGGATCTTGAAAGTACAGTCTATTTATCCTTACACCTGAGCTCTTGGGTTAATATTCGATTTCATTTCTTTCCTACTTGGAGAGTTCTTACGCACATATCCTTCACTTTTCCTCCACTGTAACTCGTAAATCAGGGCTTTATGGTTTTCCTCTCTCCACAAGGATCCTCTTAAATTCGTATCTATCATGAAACAAGGAACACAAATTTGTTAGCCACTAGCTATTAAGCGTAAAACTTGAAAAAAAGAAAAGAAATATTTTGATAAGCAATAAGGCCTGGTATCCAATATTCGTACGAAGTTCGTAAAAGTTGTTTGCATTGCCACGCAAGACGGTAAATTTCTTTTGGTTTTGTCAGAGGAATTTATTCTTCGATGGGGAACTCACTACATCAAGTCTGCCAGGTTTGGTGGTCAGTTAGAAGTAAGGAAGACACAATTAGCAAGCATGTCCGCCAGCAAGGAAGAATTCGCAGAAAAAAGTGAAGTAGAGTTTAAAAGCCTGTTTTGGAGTGCAGGATCAAGATCGAGAACTGAATCTGGGAGCTCGTCTAAATCACAACAGAACTATATGTCCACATCTGTAGTAGTACAGGGAGGAAGCCAAAGAATAGCAGCGATAGTCTCCGATATGTACTCGCCTACTTTTAAGTCTGAATTTACGGTAAGTACAAAAAATAAAATAATAAATAAACACAGACCAAAGCATGCCGAGTTCAGGAATCGAACTTGAGACCCCAGAGTTGAAATACAATTGCACGACAAGAAATTACATTCATGGTTCATTCAAATAATATTTAAATAAATATCATATGGTATACATAGGAATGGCTCGAGAGTATACCCACCTACCCAAAAGCCTTCAAGTTTCTCATGGGACCTATTACTGATCYGTTGGATTTTCGAGCCAACGATTTATTTCCTGACGAGAAGATAGAATGGGGATGCGAACAAAATAAATTGTCTCTTCAGGTCGACGAGAAGTCCCAAAAGAGTTACTATCTTTTAGACGAAAAGCGCGTTTACTGTGAGTTTGCCAGTCGAGAGGAGATGGAGTTTAGTTTGAAGCGCAAACGTGTGAGTCTAAAGAGAGCGATTGAAGTCTATATGGAAGAGGTAAGCTCATTATGATAATTGAATGAATTTTAGGGTTGCCTCAGCATACTTTTTTTACTCTCATTTAAAATGAAATTCCTGTGTCTAATTAAAAACTACGAGTTACTGTCTTTAGGGCTGATTATAGACATGCTAAGTGTTTACATTGTTTACATTTTGGGGGAATTTCAAATCTTTTATCACATATTGTCTTGAAGAATATGTTTCGCATTATGAATTACAATAAAAATGTACCTTTATCGGTTCCAAGGGTGCGAGGTCCATATCAGATGTCAGTATTCCCGCTGGAAAAGCTGGATGTGAGAGTAACGACCCAAAATATCAGTCGGCAACCAAGAGACCCTCTTGGAAAGAGATGACAGCTCAAAACAAACCCTTTATTGTGATTTTTGACATGTTGAACGATCTGAAGGGGGTTGATAAGGATGGTATTGACATCCCTAAATCCATGTCAAGAACCGTCCAGTACAGGTGACGTATGACTGAATGAATATTATAAAACAAATCCTAACACTAGGCTTATAGCAACATGTCATAATTATAGCTTGGGGCTGGGTCTAAGAATTCACGTGACCTTCCCCACTAAACCAATGAGTTGCGTCCAAGTCAACCACAGAAATAGGAGGAGCACTCCCGCAACCACATGGCTGAATGGAAATTTAGGGAGGTTAATTGGAGAAGTAGGAAATAACCCTCTCTTTCAAGAGAGAAATCTAACAGACCGTACTTACGTGTAATGCTAAGTCCCGGGATTTGAACCCAAGACCACAATAGTAAGAGGCAAGTTTACTACCCATACGCAACCCCGCATTCTATAATTTGCCTGTCTTTTGTTTTTTATCAGGGGCGATCAATGGCACACTTCAGATAGAAATGGAGAGTTTCATATGTACGACGGTTTTAGCAATGGCTTAAGCTTTAATCCTGCAAATAAAAAGATATCTATATTTGGACTTGTCTTGAAATATAACGAGTCCAAGGGTACACTTGTTTTAGGCAAAGCTGATTATGATCATTCCAAAAATTACTTTCCAAACCTAAGCCCACTATTAAAGGGTAAACAACTTGCTCGAGCTGAGTGGCCAATTCAAGAAGTTTATCTAAACCGTGAAAACAGTAAAAACCGGATGGGGCATTTACCATGTAACGTTAAGTGGTCCAACGGGCTTCGGTTTGACCCAAGTGACCGTGGTGGCAAGTGCCTACATTTTACAGCTTCTAGCAAAAGTACTCTGTATGCAGTGTTCTCGGCAGTCCCTAGTAACAAGGACTCGTGGTATTACGTTGAGATTTCCTCATCTGGAGTTGGCATTTACAAGGTAGGTAGAGTGGTTGAAGTCCTTCTCACCAACGCCTTGTGGTTTTAAACACTCCTTCTAATCTAATATTTAGTATAACTAACCTTATGTAAGAATCACAGCAATTCAGCTGGATGGTTTTTTTTAAAATATAGTCATGAAGTTTGTGAAATAAACCTTGGAGGGAATTTTACAAAAATTCTAGGGTTTACTGGGATATCTGCGCTTGGCAGTTTATATGAATTTCTAAGAAACTACAGGCGAAGTAAAGAAAAGTTTCGAATAGTCCCCTTCACAGTTCCCAGCGCCATCTTGAAAGGTAGCCGTGCCTTTGCATCGAAGCGAGACGAACGGTGAGCTTGCAATGATAGAGACATGCAATTAATTGCCTAAGGTGTTAAAAAAAGTCTCTATCATTGCAAGCTCACCGTTCGTCTCGATGCAAAGGCACGGCTACCTTTCAAGATGGCACAGGGAACTGTGAAAGGGACTATTGACAGTGATAGAGCTACGGATATACAGTGAAAGCCATTTTGATCAAACGTTTTATGCCACAATTCCAAATGGAGATCTTCGAAAATAAAACATCAATTTGGTTCAATTTCCAAATTAATTGAACTCAAACTAGTGTGCAACTCTGCCATATCTTTTTTTTCGGGAAGGAATCAGGGCATTGATTGACCACAAAATATGATTGCTGATGACTTTCCAATCTTTCCTAGGCACAGCGGCTAATGGTGACTACGGTTAATACTAATGCAATAGCCCTGGGAGACGCTATTTTGTATCAATCATATTTCGTCTGTGTTACTGAATCACCAACAAGTACCGTCATCGAGTACGGCAAGACTCAGGGCACCACGAACAGTGGAGATGTCTACTTGACCCTGATCGATCACAACCAACCGATTCATGCCCGATTTTATTCTTTTGGGAATGGAGAAGAAGCAGCCCAGATTGTAGATTCTCATGTGGTGTCGCGTAAGTTGACTGCAACAGACTGTAAAGGAGATACGTACAGAGATAAGGATGAGCCGAATTGTGTTCAGAGATGTCATGAAGCGTGTGCCCCACTGGCAGGTACGTAAGAAACAAACCTCTGGTTTTCTTTAGTATATATTTTCATTGTCAAAATATTCACAAAAACCGTGACTGTAAAGTAAAGAATGCAAGCCTTAACGACACAAACACAATGAATTTCCTCTAGCCTTTCAGGTGAATACATGAATATTGTATACAAAATTAACGTAAAGACTGATTACAGAAAAGTACTTAGAATTAACATGTATTTCGCATTTCTCTAGTAATTTTAATTACTAGAAAAAAACATAGATTAATTGGAATGGAGCGGTAGAGAACTAAGGTTACATCGCGTTTATATTTGAATTCACTCAGTTTATGCTCGCTCGTTTTACAGTAGCTTCGTTTTATAGGTATTATTTAGTATCAGTATGCTAATAATACCTTGGTGAGGGAGGAAGGGATAGTTTTCTATGGTTAGGGTTTATTTTTTGTTCCAGGATGTCAATATACGTCTAAAGGGGAGCCAAGAGCGACAGATTGTAACGAATTCCGTTATGCGAAGAAGCGCGATGGCACATGCGTCAGTAAGTGTCGTCCTGGAGAGCTACCAAATAAGGATCAGTATTGTACTGGTATGTATCTGATATTTTTACTTTAAGAAGCCCTGCGATACTCAAAGTCGACACATTGCTAGTATAACGTTATACTGATACGGTAACCATCTTAAATTATGGGATGTCAAGGGAGCAAAAGTAGGAATATTTGATAAAGCAGTATGACGAGGTTACTTTTTCAAAAGATTTCATTTTTCAAATCCAAATGATTTTTAAAATATATTTCACATTGGATAACTTGAAATTTATATAGAAATAGACCCTGGCATTTGTGTTGTCTATAAGTTTTCCAATTTTTGATGCTTCGGTATTCCATAATTCCTACTTAAACCAATAAAATTTAAGGTAATGTGATCATGCATTCGTGCTCATCCGTTCTGCACACGCGCATTTAATGGAGACCTAATGGAAACCAGACCGCCTGGTGAAAAATTCCCTTGAGAGACCTAATAAACTCTAGGAGTAAATTCCTTTGCATTAAGCGAGAGACCTAATAAATTCTAGGAGAAAAATCCCTTGGCATAAGTGGGAGGTCTAATCAACTCTATGAGAAAAATCCCTTGAATTACTATTGGGAGACCTAATAAACTCCATACTGACAAAAGATACTGAGTTTAGGAATCGAACCCAAAACCCCAGAGAAGAGAGGTGAGTACACTACGGCAATACAACCCTGATTTGTCGTCAAATGTTGTGGATTTCTTACCAAACCTCGTCTGCCTATAATAGCTGTAATATTGTCACGCATTATCAATAAGATTGACACTTTTTTCCAAACAGTTTCATATGAYTTGAGTTTCAAGTCTGACACGAAGCCGGACCACAGCAAGATGAAAGGTTTCCCGACATTAAACCATTTTACTCTATGTCTCTGGCTGAGATTGCCAAACAACACATCTTCAGCTCGTATTTATGAGTATGAAATTATGAAATATTTTAACAAAGGCTCTGAAGAACCCTTATTCTACGTGGAAATCAATAAACTAGATGGTGAAGTACGATTTGCTATTGGGGTGACAACAACAGCGTAAGTCTAGAT